CTGCCGAGAGAAGATGTAGGATGGCGGCTCCGCGCGTCAGGTACCTACCAGATCGGGATATTAGATAGCGGTTCCGCGCGTCAGCTACTATCTATCTATCCTCCCCACCCCTTTCCCCTCGCCGCTCTCGCCCGTTAGAGAAGCCGCGCGTCAGCCAGTCTCTGGCGCCATAACGTGCAGGCGCGTCATCTCATCTACCATCTGTCTACTCCCCCACCCCTCCCAGTCTCCACCTTATGTTGCCGCCTCCGTGCGTCAGGTATGCTTCCACTTGTCCACTATGCCGCGGGTGCTCCGCGCCTACTCCGCGCTCTAGCTATCCGCCGGATCAGCATTCAAGATGGCGGCTCCGCGCGTCAGGGACTCCGCGCGTCAGGTACCCGCCGAGTGAGGATGTAGGATAGCGGCCCCACCCGTCAGATGCTCCCGCGCGTTCGGTACCCGTGCGTCAGCTACTACCTATCTATCCTCTCCCCCCTCCCTCCCTTGCCGCTTCCCCGCGTTACATACTCCTCATGTACTCCACGCGTCACGTACCCGCCGGATGAGCATGTCGGATAGCTGCTCCGCGCGTCAGTGAGTGAGAATGTAGGATAACGTACGGCTCCTCGCGTCAGCTGTACTCCGCGCGTTACGTACCTTCAGCTCAGGATAGAGTCTATAGAGGCTCCGCGCGTCAGCTACTCCGCGCGTCAGGTACCCGCCCGATGAGGATATAAGATAGCGGCTCCGCGCGTCAACTACTATCTATCTATCCACCCGTCTCTCCTTCTCGGCCATACTCTCCGCGATCCTGACGAGTGAGAATGTAGAATGACGTACGGCTCCGCGCGTCAGCTACTCCGCGCGTCAGGTACCTTCTTGAATTCAGGATTAAGGATGCAGGCTCCGCGCGTCAGGTACTCCGCGCGTGAGGTACCCTCCTCATGAGGATCTAACCACACATCCCCCTCCTCCCGGCTCTCCCATGGGCGGTCTTCGCGCGTCAGGTACTCCGCGCGTCAGCTACTCTCCGAGGGGGGATAGGGGGATACGTGGCGTACTTCCTGCTTACAACCTGTGAGTAATGGTCAATTGCGACACCCACAGTGGCAACCACGAGCACCACCACATTGCTCATTTCAGACTTGTTTACCAAGATGCTTCTACAATCACTGTGCAGAGTCTGTTTGCCGCTAGGAAGCAAAACATGATGGAGATTGTCAAGACGTACATTCTGGATGTCCACAGGTAAGCCTGCAGAAGCAAATATGCTCAGTGGCTTGGAACAATCAGCGTTCAGGCTTCGTACGACTGGCGAGGCGCCATCAATGACACTGTGCCCTGGCACCGATTTAAGTCAGGATGTGAGATGCGATCGCAGCATGGGCTCAGTCTGCTCAGGCACGAGGTCCTCATGATGCAGCCTCCATATTCCAAGCGTGTCTTGGCAAGGCTAGAGTTCACCTCAAGCAGTTGTAAAGCCCAACCCAGCCGATGCTGCAACGAGTCTCCACAGATCTTTCAAAGGCCAGGAACTCCATGCTGTGGTATCTCAGGAACTGGCCTGGACAAGGCTTTGGACAAGGCAGAGGCTCGAGCACGTTGAACAGCCTATTGGGACGTTGTCAATTCTTATCGCGGCAGGCGAAAGGAAGCCTGGCAGCTTTGTCGCTTCTGCCCGGACCATGGGCTGAAGCTCAGACACGAGAGGACCCAAACATCTGGTAATGTAACACATTATATTACATCACATTACATCCTTATGTGTCACTCAGCAGCTTGTGGCAGCTTCTGAAGGACAAACTGCGGCTTCTAGAGTTGGACTGGATGGCAAACCAGGAGGGCATCCAGCTGCAGCAGCTCGATGAAGATTGGCGTTTGATGGGCTGCTTCTTCGGGTGAGAGCACAAGCATTCCCGTGCGAAAGCTGCGTGCAGATGCACTTGCCTGGGGACAAGGCTTTATGCCGCCTACCAGGAGCGTTTCCAAGCTGCAGTGGGACATGGTGCAAAAATCAGAGTCCAGAATTGCTTGCATCTATCTACTCGTAACAACATGTAACGATGTAGTCCTGTTCGGAACTTCACTGTGCTAAGTGTGGAACGCAGGCAGAAGCATTTGCAACGGTCAACTGCTGATGTACAACGAAGTCGCCAGTAAATTACCTCCCTGCAAGTACAAAAAACATCTGCTGTTTTGCTGCTTTAAAGAGTCGAGTCTGCTACCTAATTTTCATACTTCCAAGGGTATGGCGACAAGGGCCTCGGCAGCAACATTGCGGTGCCCACTTGTCAATCGCCGTTCGTCATTTGCTAACTATCCCTCTTTATATACAAGAGCCTGGCATCCACAATGCGGTTTCTTCAAAGCCCGAACGTGAAACCATGTTGGCTTCGTCGGCAGGTACCTACTGTTGTCATGCACAGCAAGGTCACAGAGAAGGTCAGCCCAGACAAGGAGCCGTCACCCTGGGACAGCGCAATCGTCCGGGACATAGTCAATAGGACCATCGTTGAGCGGCACTCTGTACTTTGTATTCCGCTGCCGTGTGGAGATGAGGTCCAAAGAGTCATGGCCCGCGTCATCCTGGCTGACCCAGCTGATGCTGAACGAGTCGCGCGTATTCATGTGCGAAAGGAACCCAACTTTGGAGGCGCAATGCTCTTTCGCTGGTCCAGGGCTAGCCTTGGGCCTTTCCCTCGAGATTCATTTTGCTGTCGCCAGTCCTGATGGACAGCGTCATCTCCACCACGGACAACGAGCAGCTTGTCAGGCAGACTGCATCCCCTAAAAGCAAACCATCCATTGCCTTCTGATGGTCCTCCATGCATTTGTTTCCTAGCATATGCGGCAGACTTACAGATGTCGCAAACAGTGCCCGATGGTTCTACACTTTGGTCGGAATACGGCAAGCTTCCGTCAGCTGTGAACACTAGCAGCTCTAAGCCAAAAGCCAAGTGCCAAGGCACTGGCGGGAGCAACGGCAGCACCTTGTTGAGGCTTTCCTGCCTCTCTCGTGCTAACCTTGGAGCGATGACCAGCTATGTGGACAGAACTGGAGAACGGCTGGCATTGCACAACTGAAAACGTATCCTTCTCACGAGGTCGCTTGCAAAGATCTTGCCAGTGTCGCTGGCTCGCGCAAAGGCCGCGTGGAGTTGCGATGTTTGACAGCGGTCTGATGCCAGTCTTTGACATGTGTCTTATTTGCAACAAAGTTGTTTTTGATGTTGCTGGGCGTTGCCTTGACAAAGGCTGAGTAAGAACGAGATGTGCAGGAGTGCGCCAATCGACTGGGCAAGATGGCAGAGGATGGCCCTGTTGACATGAGCGACTTCCTGCTGCAACATATCTGCATGTAGATGGCCTAAAGGCCACAGAGGAACGAGATGGCACTTCAGGGCAAGATGGAACCGGCTGCCTCCACAGAAACTACTCGCACCCCTTCAAAACAGAGTAGGAGTACTCTCTATACTGGAGAACACTTGGACAATCAAATGGAAGATGAAATAGAAGCTGGGGTTAACCCCCTGGTTAATCCCAGCTTCCATTTGATTTTCCTTTTGATTTTCCGTCCGAATCTCCATTACCAGATATGTACCTACTTCTATAGGGCAGTCAAAAGAGAGCATTTACTTTTGGTACCCTAAACCTTAAAACCTAAACCTTAAACCCTAAACCCGAAACCCGGAGGAACAAAAAACAAAGCCATACACCCTAAACCAGTAAGGGGCCGTGCCTTAGTGGCATTTCTCATGGACTCACCAGAGGAGAAAAGGTCCGACAAAAAAAAAGCTGAAACCTTTAACCCTGAACCTTAAAAACCCAAACCTTAAACTCTAAACCCGAAACCTTAAACCCTAAACCCTGAACACTTTTGCTACTTTGGAGCCTAGGCATGAAGCTCAAGCCCAGCTGCAGCTGGCCCTCCTGGGAGCGCCCGAGTCTCTCATGGAAGAAACCAATGCAGGCCTTATCAGTTCAGGATTTAGGGTTTAGGGGTGTTGATAAGGAAACCCAGTGCGGGCCATTTTCCGAAATCTGGGACATATAGGGGATATGGGGAGTGGATATGGGGCACTGTAAGGGCCAAAAAGGTCAAAACCTTTTGGGTTTAGGGTGATTCGGTCTGTGGGTTTAGGTTTAAGTTGGTTACACCATAAGTCAGTGCCGTGGTGCTGGGAACTTCGTGGGTTCGGGCAAGCTTTCATTGGCAGTCCACAGCCTCCAGGCATCCGGAAGACCTTCATGTTCCATCCAGAGGCCAAGCTGGGCGTTCTGTCCAATGCGATGATATTTGGCTTCACTTAGCGGTGGTAAACTTGCCCAAGTCTGTGTTTCTTTTGGTGGACCCAGTCGTCAGCTCAGGAAGGAGATCATGAAGGTGGCCCAGGAGGATCAGACTTTAGGCCCCAGCTGGCTGACAAAGACAGAAGAGTCGTATTAGCCCTGTGGCAGCCAGGTAGCTTGTGAGTTGAAGTAGAACAAAGGATACAGCAACAAGTTTTCAGCAGGTCTTCCTTCTGATGGATGTCCTGTTCGAGGTCGCCTGCTTCTCTTACTGGTTCTTAGTAGTGAATAAGGGAATATATCATATAGGGATTACATTATTCAGGAGGTATGTTGCCTTATTCCTTTCTAAGAATCAGTTTTCGGAGAATGCCGGCCGAACAAGAGAAGCTTTGATTACGCTCATCGGCAGGTCCTTTGTCAAGGGCCCTGCAGACAGGAAAATTCCATGCAAGCACCGATTATGGGAGCCTGGGCAAAAGAGAACTTAAAGTAGTTCTTCTGTTTTCTTTCTTCTTTCTCTTCCTTCTTTCCTGTGCGAAACTAGTAAACCGAGTTTTCTCGGTCCTCAGACAGGCCTTTGCCTTTGTCGACGTCTGTCTGAACTGAAGTATGTAGCGAAGTGTGGTTCCTGGCCACTTGGTTTGTTGGTCATTTGGCCTTTTTGCCCTAGCTGAGCTTGAGGAACTTGCTGTTGATCCTTTTTGCTGGCCACGACACCACAGGCAGGGTACGGAAGTGTTCCCAGACTTGAAGCAGCAGCGTCCAGCTGAACATGCAACAGGCCACACAATGACCTGGTTGACCTTTGAGCTTGCCCGCAATCCGGACATCCAGAAAAAGGTGCAGGACTGTCCTGTTCAGACTACAGGTCGTGGGAAGTTGCCATCACGACATGCTGTCTCTGAAGCAAAGGCAGTCTGCCCTGAGAATGCTCTTCAGGAGGAAGTTGATCAGTTCTTCCGTTGCCTGAACGGGCGCGATCCGACATACCAGGAGCCGAGTGCATCATCGCGCGTGGAAATACGTTTGAATGTCCTTCTGGCAGGATTTGAGCAGGTTCGATGTCTTGGACAAATGCATCACTGAGTGACCAAGCTGATCTTCGTTAGCTCAAAACTTCATGTCCTGCCACTATCTCTTTGCCTGGCATGCTACTGAGGACACTGCGCTTGTGGCCGGCGGTGGCCAACGGTACCTTTCGCCAGCTACAGCAAAGCACTCAGGTGAATTCCACGGAAACTGCTGTAGCATACATCCAGCTTTCCATGGCTTCTGCCCTGATGTTTTTTCTGAAAAGGTTCTCGGAAGAGCTCAGTGGTCAAGGCGGCAAGCAGGCTGAGTCTGATTATGGGCAACAACGATCGAGCATAGACATCGACCAATCTTGGTTTAAAGAAAATTTTGGCCTGTGGTAAGGGAAGCGCTTGCTTTGAGTGGTTTCCAAACGAAACATGAACTTTTCCTCACAGTCACGAATAGCACGTGTATTTGCAGGTCACTCTTCCAAAAGGCACGCTTGTTACCATCAGCAACTGGTGATGGTCTCAGATGAGTAGCCGTGATTAGAAGTGGCCATAAGCAGCTGTCTGGCTGGGCCAAGGTGTCGGCATCGCAATCCCGATCTTTGGGGACAAGATGCAGAGCCTCCACCCGTTCAAAGTTACGCAGCACATGTTGCAGGGTGTTGTAGCCGAAGACATCCTGGATGCTGAAGCGATGCAAAGCGCCTGCTGCCTAGGACAACTTCAACCCGTGGCGCAACTTTGCAACCGAGGCAGGTTGTTCGAGAAAGCAGCCGCTGGCTGCTCAAGCGCATGTCTGACGACCTGTTGAGGAGATGGCTCGTGTGGGCTGCCCCATGGCTGCGATGACTCCACAGTCTGCTCGCTTCTCGCCGTTCGCACACAACCCCCGCAGCTGCTTGGGCAAGAACTTCGCGCAGATGGAAGCTTGAATGCACTAGATCCGTGCGGGAAGAGCTTGGCTCAGTGATGTATCTCAGAAGCTCGAAACCACTTGCAGGGCATACGGTAGACTGTAGCCATTGTCACAGTACTTCCTCTAACTACTCCCATGGTCTGAAACTACTCTGTATGCCGATCGCGGACGTCACATCATTCCACAGGGTGCAGCCTGACCGCGTCCCAGTCAAATCGTGTTCTTGGCATTGCTTGGCTAGTGCAGTGAAGGAGATGCGACTGATCCTGTCATACTTGTTCCACAAGTTTGAGTTTGCCCTTGCGCCGCCGTATGATGCGCTGGCGGATACAACTATCAAGGACAGGTCTCCGCATGTCGCCGCATGGATTGTGAATCCCATGAGCACAGAGTGCGCTGCCTTCCCCAGGCTTCGGACACCAACCCGAAGAATTTCCGCGGCATCAACTCTGGGGGCACCATGGGCCCCATGGACCTCGAGCATGGAGGCAGGAATGTTTTCGGTGACGCGTGGCGACCATGAACAGCCACGGCAAACAGGTGCAGTGTCGGACAACGAACGCTATCTGGCAGCGTGCTCGGAAATCCTGGGTGATAAGTTGGGTGCGCAAAGTCCGCACTCCCATGTTGTTTTAACGTGCAGGTGGCAATGAAGCTGCGAGTCATGCCCAGGAAGTGAGCCAGAGAGCCTTCGCAGGGCCTTCACAGAGAAGGGTTTTCCCGCAACCCATTGGCAAGGATTTCTGGCATGCGCCAAAGACTATAGTGCAAGTGTTGCAGAGGGATGCCGCAGCGCAATCTGCTGGGTCTCCTTTGTTTGATGCATTGGTATCTTCCATCCGCTAGGTGTACAGCCGGGCATGTCAAACTTGATTCAAACTTGTTTGAAACGCAAGCGGCCCGCTTGGATGTTCCAGACCGTTTTCTGCGAGTCTTGCCGATTCGCCAACTTGAAGATTGGGATGCTGCGAACGGTGCGAGGCAAGCTGTCGCTAGATTATTGAATTCCATGGCAGATGATGGCCTTCAAGATAGACATAACGGAGCTAAAATCGATATGAGCGTCCACCTCAGTGTGGATGAGCGCAGACTCGCTTTGAATGTCTGCCTTTTGTGTAGACTGTCTCACGGCTCATCCGCGCTTGGGTTCCGTGCCCCAACACTGGGACGAAGTGCCATGCTAGCAGCAACGCTTCCACATATGGACTTCCACAGGCGTGGTCACTGGCAAGGAGCCCAAAGGAAACCGTCTACGGAATTGCTTGCTTGGAGCTGCCTAGATGCGAGAGGTGGTCGCTTCGCAGCACTCCTGTATCTTTGCATGCAAAGGGTGAAACGGCGTTGTGCGAAGTTTGACAAGCTCGGGTAGATTTCTGGGCTTGAATTCTGTGCCAAGCCACATCTTGGGTCTTGGAAATGCTTTTTGCTCTGCAGGTAGCGCCCACAAGCGCCCAGTGGCATGCGCGATGCCGCAGATCGCCTGATGATCAGGCAGGGACGTCTGCAGATCACCCTCAGCACAGCAAATCTGCACCTCTGGGTGCTCCATGCGCCCAAACAAATCCCACATTTGTGTTCACCATCGTAATGTTGCCTCCAATACTCAACCCTATGGCACCCCTTCTTTCGATGGGCCCCTCTTTGTACAATTTGATCCACACTATTTCCAGCAGGCACAAAGAGACCGGAAGTGTTAACAAAACAACATGTGGCAGGACACTCTCTATGAAAGCTGCGAGGGCGAGTTCGTGAGCCATCGTGGAGACCAAGCAGGTCTCCATGGCTCTCAGGTGGGAGCGTCTGCGTGTGTCCAAACATTTGCTACGGCATGTGTGTGCTCATGAACAGTGCAGGGTCCTTGGAGATATTCACTGTTTAGTCTTGGACATTCTTGGGAATTGGGACGGGTAAGCTAGACAAAGTCCCGGATTATGACTCAGGATCGGCTCCTACACATGTGTACACGTTAGGTGTATATGTATATACATACAGATGTATATGCGGGTATGTTATGCCTGTATTGAACCAGAAAGAAGATGTACTTGTATGTGCAATCATATGATGAAGGTGCAGTGCACGCATGTTATTGTAATATGCATATCTGTTATCCACGTGAGTTTCTCTGGGGATTTGTCCTAACATGTGCACCTTGCATAGAGCAAGCAATGTGGCTTCGCAGACCAGGGCTCAAAAAAGACAGGAGTTTCCCCTCAGTTTCCGCCTTCCTGAGCTTTTTGCCTCTCCAATTTTGACATCATGTCGGCCACAGGCCGGCGTCTGGCAGAAGCTACGCTATTCTGCTTGAGATTGCTGAGTGTGGTGCAGCCCATACGGGATTCCTTGAGTTCGTTACAAGAAGTCCATTCCGAACTAATAGGAGTTCAATACGCAACCTAGGCTTCTAAGGCTGCACCTGCACGCACACACTGTCCTGGCCAGGAACCGTCATGAAGGTGTCCGGCCCTTTGGTGGTCGCCGAGAATATGTCAGGCACCAAGATGTACGAGGCAAGGCTCACACGTCTTGTGATCACATGTGATGAAACATGCCCAAACAAGCAACAACTTTCGCTTCTGCGTCAGCCCTAACAGGGATAATTGCCTGGGGTTCTCCGAAGGTGGTCCGAGTGGGCAAGGATCGCCTGGTGGGTGAGATCATCCGGCTCGAGGGTGACACTGCCAGTATCCAGGTCTACGAGGCCTGGATGGCCTGGACTTGCAGCCGAGTTCTGAGAGCCAAGCCTTAGAGACAGGACACCTCCGGCCTGACGGTTGGGGATCCGCTGGTGAAGACGGGCTTGCCGCTTTCACTAGAGCTGGGCCCTGGGATCCTTGATGGAATCTACGCAGCTTGGCATCAAGTGTTCCACAATCAGTTACTACTATTATAACAAGTAAAGGATAGTCACACACGACAGACTTTGACTATATGCATGACAGCTGGTTGTTTGCTGCTGCTGCTGCTGCTGCTTCTGCTGCTGCTGCTGCTGCTGCTGCTGCTTCTGCTGCTGCTGCTGCTGCTGCTGCTGCTTCTGCTGCTGCTGCTGCTGCTCCTGCTGCT